CAACATTTCCTCCCTTAAGAACCATTAAATCCACTGCACTGCAAATCCCAGGAAATCTGCGGATTTTTCCTGGCTAAAAAAATATGTAAACTTGTCTTTCATAAATTAAAAATAATAAATCATGGAACCTATATGTGTTAAAAATTTTTAAGGATTTTACAAATATGAATAATAAAATATATATGTATCAAAGTTCTCAAAATATGTATGGTATCATAAAGTAAATTATTTGCTTAAGGGAAATAATTCATTGCATTTTATCATGGGAACACAGAAGTTCATGAAATTAGAAATACCATGTTTTGACATGACAGCTTACAGGCATCACTTGGCAGGACACCACCAGGTTTTGACATTTCTAATCAAACCCCTCATCTCTCATGACTTTTGGTTCTTTCTGAGGGCCACGTTTTCTTTTTACATTTATTCTCTCTGTCTAATACACAACTTTAACTCTGATTTTTATGTTTTCTTTCAAATATCCATAGACACAGTGGACAATGAGGTAGGTTTTAGATAAATGATTTTATTCTAAGACTCAGATACAAATTGTGATCAGAGTTTCCCAGCTGGAGTTTCAAACTAAAACACCAGTGTTTTATATTAATAGTCAACTAAATAGTGTGTATTACAATTCTAGGAGACAAGATATTATGAGAAGAGTCAACACAGGAGTCAAATTATGTGGTAAAATGCAAATTTACCCTTAGTCTTGGTTGAAACTTCCTTGAGAGAGTAGATACCATGAGGATGTACCATCTCTAATTAAGCAAACACAAAATGGACTTTTCCTGCTTTCCCAACAGGACACCTTCAAATTCTATAGTAATCTTTACATGCGAATGAAATGAAGGTTACTTAAGTAACAAATCCCACCCATACCCTTAAACCTGAGTATGAATGTAAATGGAAACTATCTTGCTTCTCTTCTGAAAGATTAATGTTAACTTCATTCCTCAATTTTAATGTGCAGGCTTCATTGTGTAGCTTAAATTATTTTTTAATTTTTAATGTTTTGAAAATTTCACACATGAATACTATATTTTCACCATTTCTAACTTTCTCTACCCCCTTCATCTCCTCTTGTACCTCCTATTTCCTCTCCAATTTATGACCTTTTATTGTTATTATTTTTATACACACGCATACTTTTTATTTTTACATAATCATACATGTACACATATGTATAAATAAACAGGTGACTTATTTAGCATTTTCATATACATACGTGTTTAGGGATGATTACTTGGGAACTGATAATCTATCACAAGGTTTATTCCTGGAAAATACTCTTTCTCCCTCTCAGAAGACATTAATTTTCTACAGCGCTTCATCTAGGAGTGAGACATTGTGAAATTTCCCCCACCCACATTGGCATGGCAAGTGGTGTTGCCACTGTGTGGGCCATATTTTGGAAGCCATATTGTTTCTATTTCAATTGTTTCTATTATTTCATGGTTACAACTTTCCAATCATGCAGAGAAGAAACTGTCTCACAGCAGATATCCTGGTTCTCTGGGTCTTGCAATATTCTTGCCTCTCTTCTGACATGTGCTAAGCCTTAATGTGGGAGTTGTGCTGTAGATGCATCAACTGAAGCTAGACAACCCACAATCAGTTGTTCTCTGCATTTTGACTGGTTGTATGCTGCTGTAGTAGTCTCCATCTGCCATAAATGAGGAGTGGTGGCTACCTTTATCTGTAGGTATAGGGATAAATTCAGAAATTATAATTTTTCATTATTTTTGAAATTCTCTTTCCTCCCCCCAAATCTCCCATGTACCCCTCTGTGCTTTCCTTCAAATCATGGCCTCTTTTTATATCAATTATCATTGTACACATATATGTATATGGATATACACAGATATTCCTAAATATAGCCATATACTGTTATTTATATGTATGTTTGCATGGATGACCATTTAACATGGATAACCAATTGATGTGCTCTTCTCTGTGGAGAGCCAGTTCCCAACTTCATTTAGTTACCTGTAGTTCTTTGTGTAGGATTGAGGCCTCATGGGAATTTCTTCATCCAATTTGACATGGCTGTTGGTGTCATCCTTGTCAGCTCACATTTGGACAGTGGTGTTGGTGAGACTTTAGAGGATGCAGTTCAGCTACTACTAGAAGACAGAATCTCACAGAATCTCCTTGATTCTCTTTCTGTTGCACTCTTCCTACCACTTCTTGCAGTGTTCCCTGAGATTTAGTTGAGGAAGAGTTTTGTAAATGTATGCATTAGGACTTTAGAAAACTACTGTCAATCAATAGGCAGGATAGTGGGGTGCAATCCCAGAAATTAGAAACTATACTCTTTTTTTAGGAAAGTGGTAGTAGTAGATTCTCCTCTCGAGTCCATAACCTTTAAATTATTTTTAATTAAGCCAGTATTTTTTCATGTTGTAATGATTCAGAATTAAGCTTAGACAAACATTGCAACAGTTTAAGCTGGTGAGCTTTCTAAGAATTAGATCTTAGACATGATGTCTGAACAGTTCTGTATATGGCCAATATAAGTTAATCTTACAAGGTATGTACTTTCTATAGAAGTAAATTTTCTTCATCTGGTAATTTGTATATGTGGAATAACACTGAATAGCATAGTGCTATTTAATGATTTAATTTTTAGAAATATTTGATGCTTTCTAAAAGTCATGAGTTTTGATTCATTCTCCATAATATGTAACAGGCAACATGATGTGTCTCAGACACTATGGCCACAGCTAATGTGAGATAACCTTCACATGGTTTTGATACTGGGAAGTCTATGGAAAAATCACAATTTAAAATTCCAGGGAAAAATTCAGACTGACCTGAATTGATTTCTGGAACAATCTGAATGCATATTTGAATTGATTTGAAGCCAGAGGAATAAATGTTTTTATGCTTCCTGATTCATGTGCCCAAGACACTTTCCCTCTTCTCTGTTTTTAAAAGTACCTGTTCATCTTCACAACTCCTTTTTTGGTGATGGGGGAATTTTATTAATTTTTATTTTATTTGTTTTCAAAATATCCCGATCTCAGTTTTCCCTCCCTTCACTTTTTTTATACTTATCTCTTTTTTATTTTAATTTTAAATAGCTTGTTTTACATGTCAATCCCAGTTCCCTCTCCCTCCCCTCTTCCCGCACCCCCCCACCATCTTCCCCATCCTCCCACCCTATTGCCAATTCCTTCTGCATGGGGGATATCTAGAGTCTATCATTTCATTCAGGGTAGGGTCCAGGCACTTCCCTAAGAGACTGATCCAGACCCCCTGAATGTGAGAGTCAATGAGGAGGCCTGGGCTACCTATGGGGTCCTGAGCAGTGGATCAGTGTTTATCCCTCGAATACTAACAGACATCGTGTGTCCATAACACAAAGAGGGCTGCTCTCTCTGCCTCCCTTCACTTTTTTCAGTCCTCTGCCGGCTTGCCCAAATTCACTCCTCCTCTGTTTCCCTTCAGAGAAGAGCAGGTCTTCCAGGCATTTCGCCGAATGCAGCAGAACAAGATGCAATAAGACTAGGCATAAACCCTCATATCAAGTCTGGGTGGGGAAACCTAGTAGGAGGAAAAAGGTACCAAGAGCCGATGAAAGAGACAGAGATATCCTCCCCTTCAATTCCACTGTTAGGAATGCCACAAAAAACACCAAGCTAACGACTGTAACATATATGCAGAGGATCTAGCACAGACCCACGCAGGCTTTGTGCTTGCAGCTTCGGTCTCTGGGAGACCCTGTGAGCCCTGCTTAGTTGATTCTCTGTGGACCCAATGGAGATCTCCAATTTGCTCTCTCTCTCTCTCTCTCTCTCTCTCTCTCTCTCTCTCTCTCTCTCTCTCTCTCTCTCTCTCTCTCTCTCTCTCTCTCTCTCTCTCTCTCTCTCTCTCTCTCTCTCTCTCTCTCTCTCTCTCTCTCTCTCTCTCTCTCTCTCTCTCTCTCTCTCTCTCTCTCTCTCTCTCTCTCTCTCTCTCTCTCTCTCTCTCTCTCTCTCTCTCTCTCTCTCTCTCGTTTGGTTGTAGGTCTCTGCATCTGCTCCCGTCAGTTGCTGGCAGAGCTCTCTCTTATGACAATTGGCCCAGACACCAATGTATGAGTACAGCAGAATATCACTAGGAATAATTTTAGTGATTTTTCCCTGTAACAAATGTCTCCTTTTTATCCTTTTGTGCTGTGATATTTTCTTAACATGAAATATCATTTTACCTGTAAATGTGCTGATGTCTTTCTCTCTCTTCCACATACACAAGGAATGCTAGAAATCTTGAAAGTAAGAAAATGTTTTTAAAACTTCATGTCCTACATCTTGAAGCATTAAGGTTTGTAACTAAAAAGAAAGCAAATTTTACAAATATTTTATGTATATTCAATACCACTTTATAATCTTTATCATAACTCTGTCCCATATTAACACACTCTTGCTAAATTAGTTCATTCCCTTCACATGAAGACTGCTACTGATTAAGTGGAATTTCTCAAATCTCAAATTTTAATAAAAATTCTCTCTTTTCTAGTTCTGATAATCATAACAAATGTAGAAGTCCATGCTTTATTAATGGACAACCCTCTGAACCATCTTGAGTGAATATTCATTATTCATAATTTTGTACTAGGATTCCTGTACATATACAGGAATATACTCTTCTAATTAAATAAAACAAGACTCAGTGACCATCTCAGACTTCAAAATAATTCCATCCAATTTCACAAGCTATACTTTTCTAATTCTATAATCTCTAGCTATGTTGGTAAATTTTACGTGTTGAAGATTCCAATTAAGCTCTTGTCATCACCCCAGTAGCTTCATCTTTATACCAGTTTCCTTGCATAAACTATTAATGATCAGGCCAGAGAAGAACATAATCTCTTTGTATGATAAACAGTAAAGCCTAAGGAACCTTATGAAGAAAATACTGCAGTATAATCCACGTCTTTTCTTCCACTGTACTGAGTCTTCCATTTCATCTACTTCTGTTGCTTTTTGTTTGTTTGTTTGTTTTTTGACTGTTTATTTTTGTGCACTGTTCCTGGAGGTACTACAATACCATGTCAATTCATGGAGTGGACAAAGTAAGCTCCTATTCCAACTGCTACTTCCAAAAATCCATTTAATATATTGTCCTCAGATAGAGGACATATCAGGTATGAAACTGATTAAAAACAGATACTAAACTTGATCTTAGACCAAAAACTGAGAATCAGTTACTTCTTCTGTTATTTTGAATCCCAATTACACATTTGCTGAAAGTTTAAAGAGTATACTAGTAAAAGCTCTATATTCACAGTATATACTAATAATCATAATCTTGCCTAACATGGACTTTTATTATGCTCTTACAGACAACAATTTTAGAGTCATGATTATTTTCATTAACACATTCAAGAATAAGCAGTAATATACAATTTGACACATATCTTTGAAATATGTCCCAAATCATTAGACCTTGGAATATATCTAAATTTATATACATATAAAAAATCAACTACTGTTTAGGTTATTTCCTTCAAATATGATGAGTCCTACTGTAGTTTGCTTCTGTGTTGTAACAAAACACTGAACAAAATCAACTTGGGGTAGGAAGGGTTTGTTTGGACTATAGGTAATACCCTATTATTGAAGAAAATCAATTCAAGAATTCAAGACAGAAACTGAACCAGAAACTTCTAGTATTCAGACATCTGTACTGACTTGCCATCTGTACTGGCTTGCTCTTGGAGTTTTTACAGTATAGTCTCTCAGCTGTAGCCAATAAGAGCACCTCCTGTGTGAATTCACTATGTTCCCTTTTAAGAGGACCCTGCCCATCTCCCATCCCCCTCTTTCTCTTTCTCTGCCTCATTTCCCTCTCCTGCTGCTCCTGTCTCTGGAGGCTGATCTCCCTCCTCCCCTTTCCCCTTTGTATGATCCCTTTCCCTAACAACAACAAAAAACTGCTTGAACCCTGTTGCATGGCGTCTTTCTCTCACACTGCTTTTTTAATCTTTCAATTACAACATTGGTTGCCTGATTGGGAAGGCTCTCCTGGCATCTCCTCCTGCCTACAGACAGTTTGAGGCACACCAGGACCTTGGAACCCAGTTCACATATGACAGCCTTGCTTCTCTGGATCAGTGGATCCTTCCATCCAAAATGAGCATAATTGGTGAGTCACTCCACCTTCCCAACCTTAGGCTGTTCCCAAGATGAGAACTCATTTCATCTATGAAGTTTGGTTTCTCAGTTTTGACCTCAGTTTAAGTCCTGGGATCAGGCAACTATGTCTTTCTCAGGCTCAGGGTCCTTGGCCCCTACCCTTTTCATAACAACTCACTGGGTGGCCTGTGCCTCTCTGGAAATCAAACTTCTCTGAATTCCTAAGATGCTAGAAACTGCAGACCCTTGGATTTTACCTCTTTGCCTCACTCATGGGAGCTGTGTGTTCATCTGTACCTCCTTGCTGCTATTGGCATGTTCTTTGGAGACCCACTGACCACTCCTAATCAGCCATTGTTGCAGGACTACCGGCTGTTGGCACTAGAGCTGGGAGTGCAAAGCTACCAAACCTGGCCATTTGATGCTGTGGTGATTGGAAAGGATCCATAGTGCTTTAAGCCCTATGGAGTTGATTTGGATCCACCAAGAGCAGCATTTTGTCAGATCCAGGAGGCATCTTATAATTCCACGGAGCCTGGACAGTGAAGTGAAACAGTCAACTGCTCCAGGACATGACTAGCCTCCCAGCTTTCCCAGGTCCCCCAAAGATGAACAATAATCCCCAGGTCAGCAAGAAGTAGTCTTGAGAATATAACATCCTCATCCTGGCCTCACCTGCTACCCCTTTCTAACTCCTCACCTTTTTATAATAAATAAAAAGGGAGGGATGTTAGTATAAAGACATCTGTACCGGCCTGTCCTTGGGGTTCTGACAGGATATGCCCTCAGCTGCAGCCACTAAGAGTACCACCTGTACATGTTCACTGTGCTCCCTTTTAAAAGGGCCCTTCTCACCTTCCATCCACCCCTTTCTTTCTTTCTCTCCCTCTCTTTGTCTGGTCCTCTCTCTCCCCTGGCCCCTCTTTCCTTCCCTGCTGCTCCTGTCCCTGGAGGCCAGTCTCCTCCCTCCCCTTTTCCCTTTTTATGATCCCTTTCCCTAATAATAATATTTAAATAAAAAAACCTCTGTTTTGACCTTGTCACATGGTGTCTTTCTCTGAAGTGCTGCTTTTCTTAAATTACAACAGAAACCATAGATGAATGATGCTCCAGATTCATTTCCATGCTTGTGTCAGTCACCTTTCCTATACCTGCCCTAAGATGGTAATGCCTACAGCGGACTGGGCCCTCCTCCAGCAATCAACAATCAATGAAATGCCTCACCGGCATTTTCAAAGATCAATCTGATGGAGACAATTTCTGATTTACTGTTCCTTCTTCACAGGTTTTACAAGATGATACAAAAAAAATAGTGACATACTCTTTATTAAAATACAGATGTTTAAAATGAAATTGTGGATAAGACAAGTTGAGAATTTGTGTACATATCTCGTTGAGAGCCACAGGAGACCTGCCCCTTTCTGAACAGAAATGGAGGAAGACTGTATGGGAGAGCAGATATGAAGTAGAAGGAAAGAATAGGAGAAAAGGGGGAAGTGATCTGTATGTAAAACAAATTTCATTAATAAAATTATGTATATTTTTCAATGGTAGTTATTTGAGAAATACTGAAATTTAAAATTCCCTTAGGATTCCTCCTGATCATAACTCTATTCATGACCTCTCAAAGTTTTATTTTATATTTCTGGAGATCATTTCTACTTTGAAAACTAACAAGTTTTGTATTTCTCACTTGGTATTTCTGATATGCAAAAGAGCACAACTGGTAACAATTTGCTTTTCCAAAATCAATGGTGAGGAATACAGGTGGAATTTTGAACCAAGAAATCTCAATCTAGAGTACCCATTTTTTGAAATTATATTATTTTTGAGAATTTTATACATGATCACTGTAGTTGCTTCATTTCTACCCTTTCTTCTACTTCTTCCAACTAATTCCATGTCTTCACTCACTCCTTCTCAACTTTATGACCACCTCTTATTATTTCAACACACACACAATTTTCTGAGTCATTTAGTATTGTTCATATATGCATAAGTTTAGGGGTGACCATTTGGAATTAGTTAACCTATCAAAGCACTTGTCCTTGGAGTAGATATGGCCTTATTGGAGGAAGTGTGTCACTATAGTAGTGGACTTTGAGGATACCAATGCTCAAGATACTGTCCAGTGTCCAAGTCCCATTCCTGTTGCCTACAAGATGTAGGACCCTCAACTACTCCTACAGCACCACGTCTGTCTGCATGCCACCATTATCCTTGCCATGATGATAATGGACTGAAGCTCTGAAACTCTAAACAAGCCCCTCAAGTAAATGGATTTTTTCCTTATAACTGTTGCCATGGTCATGGTGTCTCTTCACAGCAATAGAAATCTAGCTAAGACACTGGGTTAGTGACATTGCAATATTTGGTTCTCCTCTAAGTTCCATGTCCTCACCACCACAGGTAGTAGCTGTCTTTACAGGACCAGGCATTATTTCCTCTTCATTAAGAAGGTCTTCAGTTTAATTAGGTAGCTGTTGTCTTCAAGTTATAAGTGCCTATTATTATTGCACCTTTACATGCATCTTACCATGTTTGTGTGATTTATAAACTTTGTAATTGGGTGCAATTTTTCATTTCTCTTCTCCCTTACAAGCTTGTGTAGCACTTGTGGTACTATGAAAGCCAGTCCTCAGAGGGCAGGATTCCAAATAAGTTCAAGCTCAATTCTCCTTCTTGTGTCCAAAGTGTGTGACATTTTCAGCAACAGTGTCTTACTTCCAAGATATGGGAGGTAAGTAAGGAATACAGAAATAGCCAATATAATTTCAGGATTCTCTTGTATAACCCTGGCCAAGAATTCAAAGGGTTATTTCCCTTGGCTACCTCTGGAGTTATTGTTAGATAGTCTATCGTTCTTGGGAGTGGTCATTATTACCCATAGCTCTATAACATCATTTAAATTATTTACATACACTTAATGTGCATACACTTACATGTTTTATTTGTATTTAAAACACATAATAATAACTTTTGTAGTTATCCATAGTGTTCTTTATCACTCTTCCATCTCTCTACCTCAGTATGTCCCTCCCTCCCACTCAGTATATCTATCCTTCCTTCACCTTAGAAAAATTCCTCCCTTTTTCTCATTTCCTCTTCATAGCACCGGTATTCTACTATCCCCTCTTTCTAGGTCTCCTTCTGAATCCCTCCTCCCTGCCTTGTCCTTTTTTTACTTTCCGGTTTCTATGGTTATTTCAGGTTGTATAATCACATTTAGGATTAACAAATATGAAAGAATATGTGACATTTGTCTTTCTGGGTCTGGGTGACCAGACTCAATATAGTATGCTCTATGTACCTGCTTTATCATCATAAGATACTGCCTATGTGTTTTCTAGCAGTTTAATCATTTTGAGTTTATTTGGAGTTCTTTGTTCCATCCGATGTTGATTTTTGTACAGAGTAATACATATGGTTGAATTTAATTCTTCTTCATATGGACATCCAGTTTCCCCAGACCCACATGTTGAAGATGCTACTTTTTCCTCCAGTGTGTATTTTTAGTATCTTTATCAAATACAAGATGGCTATGGTTATATGTACTCATGTTTGGGTCTTCTGTTTTGTTTCATTGATCTATATATCTGTTTTCTATACTAGTACCATACTGTTTATATTACTTTAAATATGTGACATAACTTGAAATCTTCCAGCATTGTAGTTTATATTTAAGATTGGTTTGATTATCTGGGGGGTTTTGTAATCCATATGACATTAAGCTTTTTTTCTATTTCTGAGAAGAATGCCACAGGAATATGTTTGGAGTTGTGCTGAGTCTGTGGATTGCTTTTGGTAAAGCATTCAATTCATTGCCTATACTAAAAAGAAATATGTGCCAAATTTCTGAATTTTATAATATATGTCTTCTGAATAAGTAAGAATTGGTAAGTTATTTTTACAGAGTTAAATATATTAACCTCTGAGAAAGATAGGTGTTTCTACAATCTAATAGCTAGTTATACCTTCATACTATCATGTATGTCATTATTCACTGAGATTATTGTGTTTAGGAAACATTATCTTACATTGTTTTCTGCTACAACATGAAAGACTACTTT